CCCTAGTCTAATTGTTAAGGCCCCTGCTGATTGTGTGAAGCCCTGGGCTCAAAAGCTACAGGCTGTGCTTTCGCGAGGCAACGCCCCGAACAGTCTTCTTCATTCCAAGCGCCGATTAGGGTTCAGGGTTCAGGTTTAGGGTTTAGGGTTTAGGGTGAAACTGGTTCCCCCTTGCGATGAGGAGGATGTTGATTCCAGGGGAGGACTGTGGTGGTGATGTTGTTGTTCAGGTTGTGGGTGATGGCAATAAATGTAATTCAATGTAATGGTGATGGGGACGTGCAGAAGTGCTGCTGGATCCGAAGTACTAGAGGGGCCAAAACAAGTGCCAATACTATTTGGGGTTCCCCAAAACCCTATTCCAATTGTGAAGGCCCTAAGATCAGATCACCAACCATTATTATTATTCTTTCTTCTTCTTATTATTATTATTACGATTGTATATATATATATACATATCTATATATATATATATACTGTCCTTGGTCTCCTCGAGCTTCCCATCGCCTCAGCAACCCAGGGTCGGTCGCACTTCCCGCAAGGTTCCCCGACCACAGGCACCACTACCAGTTTTGGTTGCCTCCCCGAGGGTTTAGGGTTTATAGGGATTAGGGTTTAGGGTTTAGGGTTTTTAGGGTTTTTAGGGACCTACCTCCTACATACTACCTACTGTTACTACGTACTCCACCCCACTTAGTACACATAGATAGCCACTGCTCGCATGCATGCCAGCCCCGCTTGGGGAGTGAACAGAAAATCCTGCTGAACCTTCCCACAATCAAGTCTGATGTCTCTCCCTGCCATTCCCCTACTCATTGTCTCTGGGTGTTTTGGGTGGCAACCGCTGCTGAGTCGGCTGAGGCAGGTGTTATCACTTGAGGCTTGTGGCCACAGGGCCTATAATCCGAGACCCAAACCCTCAAACCGTCACAGACACTTCCCGAAGCCCTGAACCTGCAAACCCTGTACACCCTTACCTTGAAGCCCAAATAATACTCCAAGGTGCCAGGACTTGGCGCAAAGCCGTCCTTGCGGGAGAGGGTGGGGGCCGGGGAACGCTTTCGTTGATGGTGCTAGGGTGTGTGGCTCAATGCTTGTGGGCTAGGAGTCTTGCATGTGTGGAATGCAATGGATGTCGTGTGCCGAGACGCTGAACCCTTGTTCAGGCTGAAAGTCTGGCAACTTTGCCATGTGATGCGAGATGGCTTTCTTCCCGGGAAAGCAGAGCCTAAAGAGCAGCAAGGCCAGAAGATCAGTAGACACGTAAGCCTGGCACCTGAATTAAGGCCTTGAACACGGTTTAGGGTTTAGGGTTCAGGGTTTTAGGGTTTTAGGGTTTAGGGTTTAGGGTTTAGGGTTTTCGACTCTCACACTCGCACAAGGCCGGCAAGGCTCCGCATGGTTCTGTCTCCACTTCACTATGCTACATTAGGGTTTTAGGGTTTAGGGTTTAGGGATTAGCATGAAAAGCCAACATGCAATCAGCTAGATTCACCAGCACCCTTGCAACCTGTCTGTATCTCTAACCCTCTGCAACCAGGTGCTCGAGCTCATGCCTAGACTCGACAAGGGTTTAGGGTTTAGGGTTTAGGGTTTAGGGGTTTAGGGGTTTAGGGTTTCGGGGCTACTCTCCACAGTCACTTTCAGTTTCTGCAAGGACAATTCTCAGCGAGCACGCATAACTTCGAATGGGTTCAAACGGTAATGCAACAAACCCCTAAGCCTTATACCTTTCACTCAAATTCCGAACCCGCCACACAACCCCAAGCCAATTACATTTCAGCTCAACAAAGCTTGACTATGTTTTATAGGGGCCTTCGGAAGTAGAACAAGGGTTTCGTGGAAAAAGAACAATATGAACCACCATGAACAAGTATGACCAAGGTAAGGAAGGCATGGCCTGCAAATACCTTTCATGTTGTGTTCATATTTCCATAGTTCAGACAAAGGTTTTTCTCACATGTCCAGGGCAGGCCCATGACTCCTGGTCATACCTTTCCATACTTGATTCACAATGTTCATCCTTCGCCCAGACTTTTCAGAACACATAATGTCTCATTTTCCACGAATAGCAAGCTTATCTGTTTCCCGCACCCCAAGGATTGGCTCCGAGACGTTCTTAACCCTAAACCCTCAACCCTACCTATAGTCTCCATTGTAGTTCATTTTTTTGGTTTAACCAAATATAGACTAAGGATTGTATAAGGTATCCCCAAAAAGGAACTACAATGGAGACTATAGGTAATAGGTAAGCCCTAACCAACTGACCAATCGTAGAAGGTAGCTGAAAATCAACTGCGGGCTGCTCGAACGCTGGGAATTTTATGGTAAGACACGAAGTCTCCACGACATCCGACGGAGCAAGGACACTAGAAGAAAGCCTGACCGCCAGCACATAAAGACAAACCCGAAACCTCTAACCGTCTAACCTCTCTTCAAGAGCGACCCAAGTTCAAAGAGAAATCCCTCGGGACTGCCTTCTGGAGCTCGTTCTCCAGCTCGATAAGCTGTGCATTCAAGACCTCCGAACCAGAGATGTTATATCAGGCTTCGGAAAGACAAGGTGAGACAAGGTGACCATGCCCACGAAGATTGAGCTGCTACTTCCGCGGGGCATAATGGACGGGCATAATGGACTTGAGGGTTCTTGTTCTCTTCTGTGTGCCTGGGAGCGGGAGGAGGGGGGCAATCCGGACGTAGTTCGTCATCACGGCGCAGGTTGGGAACAATACCCCTCCAAACGCTCAACTCTGAAAACCTAGGCTGAATACCCTAAACCCTAAACCCTAAACCCTAAACCCTAAACTGTTAATAAAGGTACAGGGCCGAGGATCACGGGCCTGTGTTGTCATCAAGACATTGGCAAAAAAAACATATGGGTGGTTGTCAAAATTAGGGTCCCTTTTTTGGGTCCTTATTCTAATACGGCACCTATTATTTAGGGTACCCCAAAAGGGACCATAATTTTGACAACTACCCATATAAGTCTCGCTCCCCATAGTCCGACACACCGACTTGATGCTGAGCTGATGTGACCCATGCCTGGATCCTAAGTTCTGCGTGAGTTTTTGACCGTGATGCTGTAGCTGCTGCTTCTTCTACTCGTCACTCGTCCTCCTACCACTACCATCACGACCCATGTCGATGACCACAAATGCCGCTTCTCCATGCATTCCGACGAGTACAGATCGCTCCTCCAGTGGTGAGATCGATAATCATGACCATGGCGTCCAGAATAAAAACTAGAGGATGCCAACACTTTCCGCACACACACACAAGAAGTAGGGCAAGACCACTTTTTTCAGAAGGATACCATATCAATAAAACACGCGAACAATTGATAGCGGTAGCCTTAGACAGACTGGTGCCAGCCTTCGCGGATAAACGGGCTTCTGTAAGATATAAAGATCAGGATTCGGTGTGTTGGATGCATGAAGAATTAGGGTCTAGGTCGGGCTAGGGCCCGTAGAATTCGGAAGAACGCGGATGTAGTTCGTACCTTGCAACAGTGCTATGTGGCTGCATCTTTGGAGGCAAAGAGGTTCATACCATACCCCTTCTTCAGGGCACCTAGTTTTGGGTTGGTCTTTTTGGAACAGTATACTACGGCCCAATACGTTGGTCTTTTCGACGCCAAGGTCTTACCCTAAGCTCGAACCCGACACCCTGGAGCTACAATGAGCACATGAGAAACTCCAGCTGCTTTATAGACGACGGACAACGTGCATGTCATTGAATCCCGGTCTCATGGCCCCACCGATGACCGGAAGCTGTCACGAAGCACCCAAAGGCACCAAGCCCACGACCCGTCGACCCTAGAAGCGAGGACACACACACACAAACACGCATTGCCGTCAACTCCCGAATCCATACAGGGTGAAGCGCTGTAGCCCCAAAGCAGAGAATGGTCGCGCCACCCGATCCGAATCCACTGGGGTCTGGGCGTTCAGGGCGCTGTCGAGCTGACCCGACTTGTTAGTGAGGCCTGCGCTTTCCGGCGAGCCAGACTAGGCCCCAAAGTTTCGTTGAAGCAAATGGCTGGAGGGTGGCTTGACTAGCATAGAGAAGTCCGTAAACTTTTGGAAATTAACAAGCAACAGCCCCCCAAAAGACTTCGCAGACTATGCCATATGCATCTGGATATGTCTCGATCGTTTCTGCCTGTTCTGGACTGCGTGACACGGTGCCCGAAATGGAAACCAGCAAGGATGGACCATTGCTGTGACTCGTGGAAGCATGCAGAAGGCGAGGCTTTGTTGGGGGGCTTTCAATCAAAATCGGGGACTGTATCTGGGCAGTTCTCTAATTGGGGGTCCTTTTTGGTAGGGGTGCCGTACTAGGACCTAAATTGGGACCCTCGTTTAGAAAACTACCCATCTGGGTTGGCGACTTTTTGCATTGCTGTAGTTCGAGCAGCTCTGTCCGAATAATGGGCAAGTGCTTGGTAAATCTAGAAGATCACCGACAACTACTGGGATGCTCATGATTGGAAGGAAACAAAACTGAAGATCACTGCAATATCTAGTCCTTCCAGCTTCTTCCCAAACCCTTTGCTGCAGGCTTGCAAGAATGCCTGGTAGTTAGCCACTCGTCCGCCAGCTAGCACTGTACTCGTGACACTGCTTCCAGCTTCTGAGCATGCAAACCTTTAGGGCCCATGTACCCAAATAGTATATACTTTGACCTTAAAGTAGTCCTATTTAGGTACCTTGGGGCCACAGTCTATGCTATGTTGTTACATGGACCCTTAGGGAAGCCCTAAACCCTAAACCGACGGTTTGCGCCATGAGCCTCCGACTCAGACTCAGAGGTCCGGCCTTCCGGCGGCGGTATCGGCGGCAGCTTCGTTGCATCCTGTAGCGGCCCCACCAAGAAACCAAGAGAACACAACACCTTCGGTTGTTTCCCTAGACTGGTCTAGAACGGCCCAAACCCTAAACCTCAACCCTAAACCCCCCTATAATGCCCTATAAACAAGTGGGTGTTTGTAGGGTCTTTGGATAGAGGGAGTACAGTGGTAAGCTTTCCTAGACCTCCTTCTTGCACCGTTCTAAATCATGTCCTGCTTTAGGGTTTAGGGTTTAGGGTTTAGGGGTTTAGGGTTTAGGGTTTCGGGTTTAGGGCAACGAGGCTGCTGGTTTGGGGCTTTGGGATGACAGAAAAGCAGAGCTAGCTGTCGATGACAAGGGTTCGTCGAAATGGATGCTTCCGTCGGGCGTTGAGGCATCATGGCCTAACACTAAACTGCAAAGCAGAAGAATCCGGAGTCGCTCCAGCCGGGTATATCTATCTAACCATTCAGGACCCGACACTCGCCCCGACTTTAGGCAAATTCATGGAAGTATTCGAAAAATAGATTCATTGAGAGGTGAAGTAGTATCTCGAACGCTGTGTACCCATTCGTCCTGACAATACGAAATTTATACAACAAAACACTAGACCCACAACGAGCTTCGTCATGTGTAGGCCGACCTATATAGCTCACGGTGCCACTCCTTAATGCTGGCGTGGCTTAACTGGCCCAGTGACCAACTTCTGCTTTCTAAAAGTTCTGTACCGGGTTTCAGCACTCACTCTCGGACTTCTCTGTACCGGGTTTAAGAAATAGCATATACCTAGACCCCGCAACTGCCTTCTATTCTGGCCCCAAATACCCACTAGTAAGGACCATAAGGGCTCTAGTAAAGGGCCACTGGGGGGTCCTGGTAGGTCCCTTGACGCCTAATTAAGGTCGCCTTAGGGCCTCAACCTGACTGACACATTCGACGAAGGCTTTTGGTGCTATACATTGCCCTAGCCGCTTCACTGTGCAGCATAGGCGACGGAGGTTTTTGGCATTCTACGCCGCCCCGCTGCGCAGCTTCGCTTGGCTTATTACCAAGAAACTTCTATGCTCGAACACATTTTTGGTTAACCTATCATAATGCTGTGAATCTTTCATGAGGGCCAGGGTTTCGACTCGCAGGCTCGCACAGGACAGGCCCGATCCACGACAACTCCACTTCGCTTGCTGCCTTCACATGAGAGAGCACGCAGCAAAGCCCGAGGGAATAAACATGTAAGGACCTCAAAACCCTGAAAACATCTAGCAAAAATAGATTAACACGCATGGATGTTTGCTCAACAGACTACTGGCCATCAACTCGTGGCAGCCCGTAGCTAGCGCCCACAAAAAAAAAAGACGAAAAAGCGTGTCCGAGGAGAGATTGTTTCTCCAGCCATGCAACCCTAAACCCGAAACCCCTAAACCCCTAAACCCGAAACCCGAAACCCTAAACCCCTAAACCCTAAACCCTGAACCCGTATTTCCTATGACCCAGCAGGGCGAGGCCAGGAGCCCCATGCCTCTCGTTGCTCCGATTGCTTTTCGAGCGACATGGAGGGTAGTTCTCTAAAATCCGGGTACCCTTTTGGAAGTCTTTTTTTTACTATTGCGGGGTTCCGTATTATAAATTGTAGTAGAATATATCCCCAAACCCTATGCAATTATGCAATTTTTGTTATATGGGTGCCGTACTATCTTGGGGATCTAAAAAGGGAGCCTGATTTAGAGAACTTCCCATACAGCTCGTCTTCTGCCAGCGAACCAGGCCCTTTGCGGCTTGCTTGCCGGAGCTCCAAGCCACGAAAGCACGCTGTCGCCGGAGCAATTAATTTAGGGTTTAGGGTTTAGGGTTTAGGGTTTAGGGTCTGGGGCGGAGCAATAATGTAGGGGCCTTAGTGATCAGAATGGTTTTTTTGGGGAGGGCTCCTTGTTACTTTTTATCGTAGAATCTGCCGCAAAACCCCTATTTTCAAGTATTTTAAGGCCCCTAGAGTAGCTGATGATTCAGTTCACGAGGTGCAGTAAACCGGGCGAATCTTAAGAGCGGAACCCTAGAGTCCTGAAAAACCCTGCACCCTGTAACAGCCCTGGTTTTTTTTGTTTAGGGTTAGGGTTTAGGGTTTAGGGTTTAGGGTTTAGGGTTTAGGGTTAGCACTTCCATTCGCTGTATCCCCCGCATTGTACACTCACCCAGGTTGCTCAGGAACCCTATATACGATCACGAAGATCCTGCACATAAACTACTACTGCACAAAAACCCCTTAAGCCGATCATATCCATGAAATAATATTGCACCAGCAACACACTATTTGTGTAACTTGACCCTGAACCTTTAACCCTCGGGCCGGGGCGTTCTTTGCAATGTCTTCGAGTTCTGACTCGAGATCGACCAGCAGATGGGACAAGACCTCAGGGCGCTTACGGGGCTTTAAGGCATACTGAAAACGCTAAACCCTGAACCCTTAACCCGGGACCCTGAGCCGTAAGTTCGAAATCTTCAGAATTTACCCATAGACCCCATAGTAGTTCCTTTTGGGGGTTCAGGTATAGAATCCTATAAGGTAATCCCAAAAGGAACTACTATGGGGCCTTTGGGTAGCTTGTTCCGACTCTAAGAAGCCTTTCTCGGGACTTAGGGTTTTAAGGCTTCAGGGATTCAGGATTTTGGGCTTTGCCGGCCGTAAGGCTTTAGGATTTGGGTTTAGGGTAGGGTTTAGGGTTTGGGGTTTAGGGTTTAGGGTTTAGGATTTAGGGCATTACGGTTATTGAAGGTTTTGGGGTTCAGAGCTCAAGCAGGGGACCGACAGGGCTTTCTAGAGCCCTTTTTGAGAAGGGCCTCTACACTCTGGTCGCCATGGTGTTTGTGAGGGGCTCTGTAACAGCTTCCCTCATTCTTCAGTCTTGCGGCTTCGGGTTTAGCGTTAAGGTTTGGAGTTTAGGATTCAGGCTTTCGGTTTTCACTGGGCCGGGACCTCTGGATGTTTGTTTGCAAGTTTCCAGCAACCCCAAACCCCTACAATCAGCCTTGAACCCCTTTAGAAGCCCCACTGCGGATGTAGGCCCATGCATGAAGACTCCTCAAAACAAACCCTAGGCTAGTACAAAAACCCTAAAACCTAAACCCTAATTCCTGCAAGCCACGAGTCGAAAATTCGAAACTGCTTTGCGGCCCAGATGCATTCATTGCCTCGTCTAGTCGATCGGCCTCGGCTAAGTTCTGCTGTATCCCGGGTCCCTTCGATACTCCATTACTTAGGGTTTCGAGCTTAAGGCTTATAGGGTTCAGGGCACTATACTACCCCCGAACCCAAAAGCCTAAGTGGGTCCGGGTTGGAGGATTTCAGGGTGTAGGGTGTCAGGGCTTGAGGCCATCAAGTGGGGAGATGTCTCAATATCGAGTTTATCAGTGGTTTAGGCTTAGGGAATCTGAAGCTCAGTTACTTTGTGCCTGCGGCAGTACGGGCATTGCAGCTCCGGGGCTACGACAGAGATCTTGCAAGGGCAACACCACCGACTCATTCTTGCAGGCGTGGCCCATTGCCCCCCAACAGATTCCACGAAAAGCAGTGTGGTTTGAAGGGTTCAGGGTTTGGGGATGCATGGTTTAAGGGCTTCAAGCTCAGGGATGAGGGTTCAGGAGTGAGGGTGTAAGGGTTAAGGCGTGCTTCGGGTCGGCTTAAGGTACCCTAAACTATCTATCTATGTCTTATATCGCCCTAAAGCCCTAAACTCGAAGGCTACGCCCAGGAATCGGACCTGAGGCATCGGAAACCCAAGTGCTAGAATCTGCCAGGAGCCATAAGAGCCGAGATGCTTGACCATCCATGGCGTTGGGAAGTACCTGAACTCGGAAATGAGCCCCCTGCGCCCCGAATCAGAAGCCCTGGCCCCCAAGTCAGTCTTGAAGCAGCTTACCCATAGGCCCCATAGTAGTTCCTTTTGGGGGGTGCCGTATAGGATTCTAAATATGAACCCCCAAAAGGAACTACTATGGGGCCTATGGGTAGGACAATCTGTGGTGAGAGAAGGATGGCAAAGTTAAAACACGAAGCAGTTCCTGGACTCGCGTACGAAACAATCAGATGATAACGGCCCCGAAACCCCTAAACCCTAAACCCTAAACCCTAAACCTTAACGGCCCCGAAACCCCAAACCCGGAAGGCCCTGTCTTGTAGACTTCCGGCTTTCGGCTCAGGGCCGTAGCAGCCAAGACCAAGACCAAACCTCTAACAGGCTTTCCTAGAGTCCAAGGGCTCAAAGAGTTTTTACCTTTCAGCACAACGGTAGCAAATTTCTCCGCCCAAAGCAGAGGGTTTTTGTTGGACCCCTTGACCCTGCAGGAATCACTCTTTCATGGTTTTGGGCTTCTGGCGTGGTTGAAGGTTGTTGTTGGTTTAGGGTGCTGGGTTCGGGGCTATGGTGTAAAGTTTAGGGCCATCTGACAACCAACTGGCAACAACAATTACTATCATTATAGCAACATATGATATGTGTGTCTTGTGGATCTTTGGCTCGAGCAGATATTGTATCTCCGTGCGGTATATTCGAGTATATTCGTTGCACATGTGTGCATGCGTGTACATGTTTGTACATGTGCTGACGTGTATTTTGAGCAGGCGAAGTCAATTGATCACTGGGACACTCCTCCTGCAGCAGATTGGGGACAATGCAACGTCATCCTGTGTGCGTGCGTATCTAAACCTGGCTGCACATGTTCTCCACTTATACACGCACCCCAACATGTGACGGTAGAAGCTTTTCAAACAGCCGAGGCGGGATTCTGCTGTTGCAACATGAGATCTCTCTATATTGAGAAGCTGCAGAGGAGAATTACCTTTCTCTCATGATACAAAAAATTGCATATCGCAACCCTATAGCCACACGTAGAGGACTGAATATAAATCAAAGCTTTACAGGCTTGACCTTGAACCCATCCATATCTAAGCGAGTCGGCGCACGGTGGAGAAGCAAGCAGTCCCTTTCTATGATGCTTGCTATGTCATGTGGTCTAGGATGTACAGTAATTATAGGGTTTAGGGTCTTGGGTTTACGGTGTAGGCAGCCTTGATCCAGAACCCAGATTTGGGAGGCTCCGCAGCTGATTTCCAATCAGCGGGATGCACAAATACAGCCAAGATCAATTTTCGACAGACCTACACGAATCTTACCCAGTCCCACAGTCCCAACCAATGCAGGACACCTCCATGGCCACTTCCGGCCATCTCAGCTGCACAGTGCCCCGCGTCATGCCGCTGCCTGTGCCGCGGCTTCTAGAGGGCGCACAGCAAAAAGAGCTTGTATACATGTGACATACCCTACACCGTGAAGCCTAAACCCGAATCCCACACGCCGCCATAGCCATCATCGCAACATCCCATCTTGATTGACCTGAGCCTTGGTCCCTCCAAACCCCGAAAGCGAGGCAAAAAGTAAATCCTCAAGCAAGTACAAGGTCTGAGCAATTAGCCGCAAGATTTTCTGACAAGTCCCTCAGTCCACCCCCAGCCCTAGCGTACGATATTGTACGTAGTATAGTATATTGCACGATAGCATATGATATCACGGGATACTATATGGTAATATACTCGGAGCAAAAAAAGTAGAAGCCTACGGCGCGAGCGAAGCCCCCAACAGAATCCCGAAACAGAGCCCGGGCAGCCCTCGGACCGTCGCAGCACTCTCGAACATCGGCTAGGGTTTGGGGTATATAGGGTTTACCCATAGGCCCCATAGTAGTTCCTTTTTGTGGCTTATATTTAGGATCCTATTAGGTAATCCCAAAAAGGAACTACTATGGTCTATGGGTAGAGTGTCGGATTGAAGGTATAAGGAACTCCAGCATGCGCTTCTGTCAGCTTGCACACGACCAGCTGATAGACTGCTTGCCCCTCAAACACATCAACAGATACCAAGCACCTTAATGATTCCCCAACAACGGAACCCCAAATTCATTTTTGAAGAAACACAGCTGGACCCCGAGTACTATGGCAGGTGCAGCTGCTTGCATGTTTCTCCACAAACGGACCAGACGAAACCGAAGGATTGCGGGGTTTGCAAAGCCGCAGATCTGAATTAACACGCTACTGCAGCCGCTACAGCAGCGCCCTTAAAGCAGATTATGCTCTGCACTTGCTGTTGCACGTGCAGCGGATGGAGCCACAAGGGCTGCTCAAAAGAAGAGGCTGTTGCATGCCAGTGCTGGCAGCAGGCACGCTACAACCACCTCTATAGTCTATACTCTATACAGACTGTCTGGGCCACAACAGTAGGGACCAGAGAGTCAAGAAACACAAAATCGCTGACAAAATCGTCAAAGTTCTAAACATGTACCTGTGGACAGACATTGCGAATTATTGCAGCTTGGAGTCCAATGATTTCCAATTGTCCTTTGGTTCTGTCGCTTACACATTGGTTGCGAAACCCAGCCCGCATAGGTCAAAACCAACGAAACTGCGGAGTTGCGAAGCCGCACATTGAATTAGTGCGCTACTGTAGCTTCTATAGCAGCGCCCGCAAAGCAGATTATGCTCTGCACTTTGCTGTCGTGCTGCAGCGGATAGAGCCGCAAGGGCTGCTCAAAAAGAAGAAGTTGCGGCGTGCCAGCATGGACACCGGCACACTACAACCACGTCTATGCAGACTGTCTGGGCCACTGTAGGTCCGGAAAGTCGAGAAACTAAAACCATCGACAAAATCGCCACCGTTCTAAGCATTTCTTGGTCAGCAGAGAAATTACTGCCGCCTGGCTTTTCTCAAGACTTCGGTGTTTCGGAAAATGGTTCAAATTGACCCTGCAGCTGAGGTCCATGTGATAGATACCTTTCGGGCTTAGGGGTGTAGGGTAAAGCCTACTGTAAACCCTAGACCCCTTTTGGAGTTCTAGGCTTCTCCAGGACCGTGCTGTCATCGTGAGAAGCGCAAGGGCGATGTGTGCCGGGAGGGGGAGCTATTGACTCAACAGCCTAGTTCTTACTAGGGTGCCTTATATGTATATGGATAAGGTTAGGATCTAGGGTTTAGGGCTAAGTGTCCTAGCTAATAGCATCAGGGTACTACGCTACTAACCTAAGGATTCTTCGGCTGCAGGAAACCTGGCATGCTCTTGTGCTGAACGCAGCGGCAGCTGGGAAAGTCCTCCGGCACGGACTCCTTGCTTGCGGGATGAGGTGCCGGCCAAGGCAGCGTCGGCAGCTGCGTGATATGCATGTCGACGGAGGCTTTGTTAGGCATCACGGATGCAATGACCGGCTTGAAAACCGGCTCGTACATGGACTTCACACGATCTTCGAAGATGCCGTAGACTCCCTGCTCCTCCATGTAAGTGTGGAGAAGGGGCCCGGTACCTCCCAGCATGGCCAAGACGGTGGTAACTTTGGCATCCCACGTCGCCATGGGGGCAACGGCTTTCCCAGTGGTTGTGAAGGACTCAATGCTGCCAACGCGTGTTTGCACCCGAGGCATGGCCAGCATATGGTTGTACCATGCAAGTCCAGCAGCTGGATCCACCAAAATCGAAGGGAAAGCGGCATAGGGGGTAAGGACGGTCTCTGACTCCTTGAAATTGAAGACTGGCTCCTCCGCCAAGGACTGGATTCCCACAGCGCTGCAATAGGGGTGAGCGTCACACTGCACACCAGTGGGTGCATTGACCGATGCCATGAGGCCTGGCAGTTGCTGCTGCACGGAATTCTCCAAGCGTGCGAACTCACCTTAGGGGCTGATTACCCTAGCCCAAAAAAGGTTTATAACCTTTTGAATTCTAGCAGGATTATATAAGCCCCAAAAAGTTAAAGGTTACCTACTCAGCCCCTAAGTCACCGTTTGCAAAGAGGTGTTTCACCAACGGGATGTCCATGTAGGGGAGCTGCAAGGTCTTCCACTGTTCATGGGCTGAGAACCAATACCCTTTCTGCAGAACCATCTTCGTGTTGTCGGCGGCTTTATACACGACAGGCTCGACGTGCTCTGCCTTGATCTTCCACATCAGCTTCTTGTCCTCCTCACCACTGTTTGCATACTTAGTCCAGTTTCCGAAGATGTCCATGAAGAGAACAATCATCTCCCCTTCGAAAGCATCCCAAAGGTATAAACCGTTTTCATTGTGAGCATTGGAGGCATTCTTTGCAATATCGACGGTGATGTTGTCGAGCTCACTGACCATGCGCACCAATCCGGCTCCGTTGTAGAACAAGTTGACAACGGATGCCTTCATCCGCTCCAAGCGAGCGTTCCAGCGACGGGCTATCTTTGCAAAGCGACTGGAGGCGCCTTCCTGTTTAGCACGGCGTTCCAGAACATGTACCACGGCAGCAGTGCCAAATGCAAGCTGGCCATTATCCAGACCTGGCAGGGTCCTCTCCCAGCCGGACAGTGGCGTCATCCTGGCTCCGGGCTCCTCTCGGGTCTTGCAGTGCCCTGCCTTATTGATGCCACGAGAGCAGAACCAGGGCAGGAAGCCCCCAAAACCTGGGAAGTTGGCATCAAAGTCTTCCATGGATTTGGCCTTCTTCTCCAGGATATCCAGCGCCTCATCCGTGCTGTAAAGCAAAGGCAGCACCGTGGCCAGCTGCTTCGGCACGTCCTCGACGGGCTGAAGGGCCAAAGCAAGCAGGCTCAAATGCAAAGCCTCTTTTGATGGCGCCGAGAAAGTTCGAAGACTTCCATGCTGGACCTCGCCAGTGTGGTGGTCCAGACCGACGCCGTCATAGGTCATGCCGGTGTCGGGATCGAAAGCAAGCTTCGATGCTCCTCCAAGAAAGCGGCGCTCCATGTACATCACGTTCGCCATGAACTCGGCCCGGGTCTGTGGGTTGTGCCAATCCACGCCTTCGAACTCCTCTGTCTGGTGCTTAGTAGGGTATGGGGGAATGGGTTATAGGGACTACTATAAGGGACTACCAAAACAGAGGGATCCATTCCCCCATTCCCTACAAAGCACCAGAGAGTCCTTGGCGAAGCGGCAGCAACCAGAGCTGGCAAGCTGCGGCTCGGTGACCTCCGACAATCTCCTCTCATCGGCGCCCTCGGTCGCAACCCGAGGGGACCTGGGGGTTTCCGAAAGTAGGGGAGCCCAATATAGTACCCTAGGGTTTAGGGTTTAGGGTTTAGGGTTTAGGGTTTAGTACCCTAAATAGTAGGATCCTTATCATAAGGACCCCAATATAAGGTACCCCTTGTTTTCGGAAACGCCCACCTCGAGATCACGAGGACCAAGCCGAGCAACGTCAAGACGCTTCCGGCGAAGCAAAGTCGGCTCTTGGCCTCGCACAAAAGCCCAGGAAAGCAGGAGACTGAGGAGTACCTAACTTTTTCCCAGAGGCCCCATAGTAGTTCCTTTTGGGGATTACCTAATAGGATCCTAAAAGTGTAAGCCAGAAAAAGGAAGTACTATGGGGCTATGGGTAGTAAGAAGCTTTATAGAACCGTAAACTCGTGAGGATTTAGGTTGCCACTACGGGAGGGCCCCCTTGCCTTGAAAATCCCAACCTCCGGGATGGTCGAAGAAGGATTTCCGAGCGCCATGGCAGGACCGACTTCTTGCGAAGGAATCGACGAGGGTCTAGAGGCAAGTGATGCACCGTAGGAAATCCTGGAGCCGCAAGCCGCAGGCCGTAGACATTGAGTTGGGTCTGAGCGTAATTTTACAGCTGCAACCATGGTTGCTATCATGTCTACGTACTACTCATCACCACCTTTCAGTTGCCGAAGCACCACCACCACCACCTCCACCGCCGCCCACATAACGGAAAATAACCTTGAAACTGTAAACAGCTGAACTCTTAAACCATAAAGCTTTACCTGCAAACCCCGGAACCCTAAACCTGAAACCCTAAACGCCTACACTAAATCCCTACGCGCATCCTGCCTGCTGCGAGTCCTGCTTGAGCCGGACCACCACACACGATAGTCTCAGCTCCTGGCGCGTCTCTTCGGGTTTTGGGTTTAGGGCTTAGGCTTGCGATGGCTCTGGAGATTAGAACTTCAGGGTTTAGGGTTTAGGGCTTAGGGTTTAGGGTTATTGCACAATATAGTGAAGAACAAGTGTCCATGTTAGAAACAAGTCTAATGATTATAGGTATCCCCCATGCGATTGTTTGGATTCTTTCTGGCCGGACTGAGCACCAAACAGACTCTGCAAGGAAACATGGTTCTTTGGGTCGACGGAACGACTGAGATTCAGAAAACATGGGAAATCGGCGACACTAAAAGAAAGCAAATATGATATGCGATCCTAGACAACACAAGCATATCAAATCAACATTATCATAATGTCACGCTTGTTCTGATGGATAGTACATATTGCAATTATTATTGTTACTATGCTTGTTTGTCAGTAAGTATTCGGACCGCTAATAAACTTGTTAAAAATTTTGCCACGGCTAGCACTATTACTACAAGGGTATTTTTGACATTGGCTTCCATTAGTTTGTGAAACTCCCCGATCAGTGTTGTTGGCATCGGGGGCTGTTGGAGATTGGCTTGAAAGACTGCCACCCGCGGCCAATTTTTGCTGCACTGCACTTTAAAATCATATCATATGCTCAACCTGGAGAGTGGAGGCGTCTTGCGCTGTCAGAAAACTCAACAACTTGGTTTCGGGAGCACTGTACTCTACCACTGATCCCGAGGCGATTCATGCCCAGATGCCGTTAAAGGACACTGTAAAGCTTACGCATACAGGGCTTTCTACCCTCGTTCCAAGAATCATGGACTTCTGGTGGCGCCCTGCGCTCGCTCTCCACGCCCAAGTGCAATATACAGTAAGACCACTACGTCCCCTAACCGCCGAAAGGGGTACAGCTCTTCGGCTCCCGCACGTCAACACCGAAGCTGATGCTGCGAGGAGTCGTGCGTTTTGTTCGAACTCTGTTGCAGAATCGTCGGGGCTGCTCTCTTGCTTGTAGAATCCTCCGAGTTCGAATCAGAGAAACTTTAAGATACGGATAGTTCTCCAAATAAAGGTGCTTCTCTAGGCCCACCAAATAGTACGGCACCCTTATTCAGGGGACCCTAAAAGGGACCCAAATTTAGAGAACCTTTACCCTAAACCATATATAACTCCCTAACCCTAAACCCTAAGCCATATATAACCGCACCAGGAGCTTGCTGGATGCCTGGCAGTGAGACCCACAGCATGATTTCATCAGTCACGAGTCCCTAAAACCGTCCCTAAAACCCCAACCCATGTAATATAGGGGCTTAAAAAATTCGAAAAAGGTTTTGGGATATTCTGTACTGTAACTATAATCAGGAACCCACCAAATTTGGGGTATACAGTATTGTGCTATAAATCAATATATAAGGAACCCAACAATCCTATTCTAATTATTAAGGCCCCTCCAGCATAAGCACCGCACTGTCTGCATGGCTTCTACCAGAATCTGCTCAGCAGGTTCTCTGGCAGAATCCTGGAGGTCTTTTGCCAGCCGGCGACATGCGCACTTTGGAACAGGATCGGGTTCAGGGTTTAGGGTGTATAAGGGGTTTAGGGCCAGATTAGGGTTGAGGATTTATACCGGGGTTTCGGGCCAGTTTAGTGTTTAGGATTTATAGGGGGTTTAAGTCCTGGGCGGGCTTGTTTAGCCACGAAGCACTTCACTCGTGATGAGAACTTCTGATTAGTTCAGGCTCACACCCGAACAGCCAAGTACCTTCGCATAAACAAAGCCATCGAACCATTCAGTCCTGTAGAATTAGAGACGGCTCCCCCAGGCCATTTGCTGCTACATTCCTCTATATTCCTGTTGAAGCTTGAGGCATTTGGGTTCTCTGGGTGTATCGATGGGCTGGGCACGTACAGCAAGGTCAAGGCTGAAGCTAACTGAACACCTTTAATTCTAAACTCTCTTAGACCCTAAACCCTCAACCCTAAACCGTTGATTGGTATTGCGAGGTCCAGGGTCACGTAGGCCTCCCAAGGATCTACGGCTTCTTTATTGCTTCAGCTTTAGGCCCAGATGCGTTTAAGCCTTCAAGCCTCAAGCGTGTTTCTATGCCTTTACTTGGCTTTCAGGGTGAAGGAAGCTGCGGGTAGCGGGTCGAGGCGTTTGGAGTTGAGGCTCAGGTTTAGGGTTCAGGGTTTAGGGATTTGTAACAGGGTTTAGGGTTGAGGGTTTAGGCCTTCAAACTCTGCAAGGACATCTCAAGCTAGCAGATACCATCTTCTTTTTGGGAGGGGTCGTTGGTTCAAGCATGGGTCTTGAACTTTGAGAGGCCAAACGAATGACACCCTCAAGCCCCAAACCCGAAACCATCCTAACGCCCCCCCTCAATGCCCCGAACCCGCCCTAAAAGGTAGAATCGGATATGCCCAAGTGCGATCGAGGCTTTCGGGTCTCCAAAAACCTGTTAGGGCCCCTTACTATGTTTGCCGTACGTCATGTCCTTGAAACGGAAGGTTTTTTGGTGACTAGACAATCGACCCTGGACTCCAAGTTTAGGGTTTCTGGTGCGGGTCTAATAATTGGGTCGGAAGAACTAGTAACGGTATTCCTTGATTCCTTGGCCTTAGTGATGCTTACGACTTACTCTAGCGGTACAATACTATACCCCAAAGCTTTGTTCTAAGTAGCATAAGACCCCTCGTTCTCATTTTAGGTCGACCCAAAACCAAGCATTTCAAGAGGACTGCTTGCATGCTTCGCCGGCTGATCTCAGGCCGCCTGACCACTACCACCGAGACAGCTTGAGGGAATCTGCAAATCATCCGGTGCCCACTATCATGAAAAGCTGTGAGGTTGATTCGTGAAAAAAACTGATCCGAACGCAAACTTGTGGACTTTTTGCTGGCTCGGACAAAAACTGTAGTTAAATCGGGGCAAGGGTGATACAGTGGCGACCGCCGACGGCCGCCAGCACTTCTGCATCAGAGGGGTTCGGTGGCTTACGAGTCCAGTGGGATGGTAGCTGAAGACTGAAACGTTTGCCGTTAGCAGGCATGTGACAAGATCATAAGAGAATCGAAAAAGGCTGCACCCTCCAACTCCAAACTCCAAACCCCTACCCCAAACCGTCAACTCAAAACCCTACATGCAAAGCCAAAACTCCTGCAAGGCCCTAAACCCGCAAGGAAGACCCGCCCAAACCCTAACCAGCAAACCCTTTTCTGAACCCCGCCGAGCGGCCCAGTGGAGACGAATGGGGTTAGGGTTTAGGGTTGGGGCTTATCTTATGGTATAGGGTTTAAGAGTTTTGTTGGGCTTCCGGTGTGGGGTTTAAGAGTTTAAGGGCTTGGGGGTTTAAGGGTTTAGGGCTTCTGCTTTCTGCTAGGATCCTAACCAGATGTTCAGGAACGAATAGCTGAGCTTATTAGAACAGGGTTTTGGGGCCCAGTATACTATAATTGTAATAAGCAACCACCAAACATAATATAGGTATTTAGGGCCCTATATTAGGGCTTGAGAAATGACTTGCATGTTGGTGGGTTCGTGGGCTTTGCAAAGGGCGACGAGTCTATGCAGACGGGTTGACGGCAACTTCGGGGCTGAGCTTTACTTGGAGGGTTCGGGGACTTAGTAAATGGTTATTTTTATAGACTTATAAGTAACTATAACCCCAATTAGGGCCCCTTTTAGGGTACTTATAAGTCTACTTATTACCCACTTACTAAGTCTCCCGACCCTCCAAGTAGTCCTAAATACAACAACCTTTGCACCATACCTAGGCTCTGCATTGTGGCACAACTGTTGGTGGTCATATACCATATGCTGAGCATATGTTATCCTCTTGCTATAGAATCCACACCACCAAATAGGCCATCCAAAAACGAGTGCTTCAATCTACCTGGAGGATCATACCCTGCCCCTTTTTAAGGGTACCTAGTGTCATGGCCTGGACTTACATCCCTAAATCATGTAGGCCCAAAGGGTCCTAAGTACCTATATAGTGGAATGTAGGGTTTCTATAATACTATATTAGGAATTACGAGTATGATTTAGGGAAGTATCCCTCCTAACAATACATAGGACCCTTTGGGAGGTGGGTCTAGGTATATCATCGTGGCATCTCGCTCTCTGCCACGGGCACCCTGCAGAAGCCTGTTTATAAATTTAACGAATCAGATTGGCCATGCGACAGCGACTTTGCAAGACATTTCCAGACATGGGCCAGAAGATCGTGGCTTACTTTCTACGTATGGTATCCGAGCTTCTATGACGAGGACTCCGATTCTTTTAGGGCCTACGGCCTGCACATGATTCGCAAAGCTAGGAGTTCAATAACGGTGCCATCGAGTATCGGAGTCCCTACACAGACCCGATTTCCTACAGGGGCTTAATAACAAGACTTAGGTTTAGTAAGTTTAGGGTTTAGGGCTTAGGGTTGAGGGATTTTGGTGTTTTCGGCTACACTGCAAACCGAAAGCATAAGTCACTGTCAGGGCAAACCCCTCCGCATTGGCCTGCTTTGACCTTCTGCTTCTGCACCAATGACGTTGTGATGGCACACCGGTTCAACGAAGCAGCATTCCAACATCAAAGCACATGCCCCATGGAGGCTACAATCATAGCCTTCAACCCAAAAGG